TCAGTGTGTGAATTCAGGGGCAGTGTGAGAGGAGAGGGACAGCAGTGTCTCCAGTCTAGTCAGGAGTGTGAGTGTGTGAATTCAGGGGGAGTGTGAGAGCAGAGGGACAGCAGTGTCTCTAGCAGTGTCTCCAGACCAGTCAGGTGCCTCTGTCCTTTCTCATCTCTAGATCATTTTACATCAAAATAGTCTCAACCTTTCCCTCCCCCCCCATCAGGGTCTGTCTCCAGGGGCTCCATTGTCACTATGGAAACGCTTTGCGCCCAATAACGTGTGTCATTTGAAGGTGAAAGTTTGCTCTCTCTCTCCCCCACAATTCTGCTGTTAACGCTCAGCCAGCCAGAGCCCAGTCGGAGAGAGTGAGACCAGGAATGACCTGGTGTCCAGGCCCTGTGTGTTCGTACTCAGTCCTGTCTGTCATGGCTCTCCTCTTTGCTTGTTCACAACCTCCCAGGTTTGACTCCTCTCTCCTCTAACCCTCATGTTGGGAGTTGGAGGGGGGGTGCAGTAATCTGAGCTACTGCCACACAGCTCCGGGGTCCTGGGCTGGATTTGGGCCTTGAGTGTCTGTCTGTGTGGAGTTTGCATGTTCCCCTTGTGTTCCTGAGGATTTTCACCGGCTGCCCCAGTCTCCACCACTTCTAACACAGGACTGTGTAACAGGCGTCCTGTCTGGATGGAGAGCGGCCGTGTCCTGTGTCCAGACTTGCGTCTTAGTGACCCTCACTGGGATGGGGGGTTTATTGTGCCGGTAGGATGTTTCTCTGCTTTGACTGTGTCTCTTCTGCAGCTGGTAAAACCCGGAGCGGAACAGTGGACTGCGCCGCAGCAGGAGTCTCATCAGCCCTTCTGTCGCGTTTCAGTTTGGACTCGCCCGTCTCTCTCCTCTCTCGCAGAGCTGCAGCGGGGCCCCGGGGCTGGCCGATCTCGAGGCGGGGTGCAGCTGTATGACACCCCCTATGACGAGAGGCGCCGGGGCCGGGGGGCGGACCCCGAGGGGGCGCGGGAGAGCCGACTGCCCCAGGACGACGAGCGGCCCGCTGACGAGTATGACCAGCCCTGGGAGTGGAAGAAAGATCACATCTCCAAGGCCTTCGCAGGTACGGCCTCCCTGTGTCGTGCACGGGCCTGCCGAGGCCTGACTCTGGACTCTTCCAGTCCCTGTGGAGTCCAGGACACTGACACGGCCCAGTCACAGGGCTCTGGACTC